TCAAGCAGACATTTCACAGGGGAGAAAATCAAAATGGTTAATAAACACATGAAAATGTGCCCAATCTCCTTAGAAGTTAGCTAAATGCAAACTCAATCCATAATTATATACCCACCAGATCAGCAAGAATGAAAAGTCTGAGAATACCAAGTGATTGGAGTGATGGAATGATGTGGAGCCTGGTGGGAGTGGAAACTGGAAGAATATTCTTGGAAAACAGAGAGACTTTCCCCTAGGACACAGGAATCAGTCTCCTGGGTACAATCTCTAGGGACACTCATGCACATGTGTTAGGGATGTGAATACGATCGTTCCCATTGTCTGTGGTTGCCCCAAACTGGAAACAACCCAAATGTCCCTCTACAGTAAAGGGGATACATGAGCTCTAATATGGTCACACAATGGAATGGGATTCAGCAATGAACTCAAACAAACCTCAGCTATGCACGGCAACATGGAGAAATCCCACAAGACAAGATGGTGAGCAAAAGAAGCCAGACACCCAAGCTTGCACCTGTGTGATTCTGTTAATATACAATACAAGCAGGCAACACCCCATGGTGTAGGCATGCACACTTGGGAGGTAAAGGCATAGAGAAGGGGGGCAATGCTGGTTCAGTGGTAGAATTCTCACCTTCTGTGCAGGAGACCCAGGTTCGAATCCCAGCCAAGGCACCACATGTGCAGCCACCACTCATTTGTCAGTGGAAGTCTGTGTGCTGCCGTGACGCTGAACAGGTTTCAACGGAGCTTCCAGACTAAGATGGACTAGGAAGAAAGGCTTGGCAATCTACTTCCAAAAATCAGCCAATGAAAACCAGTCTGATCCCCAACCAAACATGAGGGTGGAGCAGGATTGGGCAACATTTCATTCCATTGTGTGTCGGGTCTCCATGGGTCAGGGGCCGACTAGACAGCAGTTAACAACGCAACAACAAAGGCATAGAGAAAACCAGGGCAGCACTTACCCACGGAGGGGGGTACTGTGATGGGGAGGGCAAGCAGGTGCTTCTGGGATGCTGGGGAGGCTATTTATTGATGGGGGTCATGGTTATACAGAAGCCGCTTCATAGCAATTGGTTAGGCTCTATATTAATGATGTATTCACTTGTCTGCATGTGCGTTTTACTCCACAGGAGATGAAGAGCGGGCAGTGAGCATGCTGCAGCTCTGAGTAGCTCTGCGCATGGCCAGGGATGAAGCTGGAGGGCGACGGAGCGGCAGCTGCCAGGCAGCCTTGATGGCCTAATGAGGTCTTTGAGGAGTCAAGGAGTGGTCTCCAGGGGGGCGGGAGAGATTGGGATCTGCTCCGTGCGCCTCGAATTTCCTTTCCACGAGAAAGTGGCTGGCAGGTAGCTTGAAGGGGACCATCACTTGCATATACTTTTCTGGTGGCAGGGGGGTCGTCTATCCACCACCCTCAGGGGGCCCCTGGACGCCGCTAGGGCAGGTCCCTCCCTGAGGCCCACCATCAGGACATGCAGACGTGTGAGGGGGCCCAGCGAGGGGCTCAATGCTGGCAGACCACAAAGAAGGCTGTGACACCTCCGCTCGTTCCCCTCCTCTGGAATGATCTAGTGTTCTCTTGGTGATCCCCTTCCAGGCCCTGGGTCACTCTCAAAAGCCTCTTCCCTTCTGTGCCTCAGTCTACCTATCTGTAAAATGGGGCTGCCAGGGCCACCCCAACGGGGCCTCAGATGCAGGAGGCATCTCCTTGGAGCTGCAGCCTGGGCCCCAAACAGCAGGGGGCGCTTCACTCAATGTGATTCCTCCCCACAGCAGTGACTGCGTTGCGAGTGGGCAGAGGGCAGTGGGAACAACTCTGCTGGGTGAGGCATCCCCAGAGCCCTGGAAGCAGCCAGAGTGGACTGGGCACTCTCTCTAAATGACTATGGGCTGTGAGGATTGCTGGGACCAGGGCCTGGGCTCAGAGCAGTGAAGAACAGACCAGGGTCACATAGCAGTAAGTGGCAGAGCTGGCACTTGAACCCAGGCCTCTCTGGGCCTCAGTTTTCTCATCTGTAAGATGGGTCTAATAGCAGCTGTTTGTCAGAGCAAATGTCAAGGCTCCAGCTCAGCACTGGGAACTGGGAGGTGTTCGGTAAATGGACTCCCCAACCCTATAGATGAACTAGCACATTCACAGTGGATCTCAGCAGTGGGTGGGAATCCCTTCTAGCCTCACCTTCATGCTGGGAGACTATGGGCTGAGATCCCGCCCCTAGCCCCTAATACACACACTCTTGCAATAGAGGCCTCAGACCAGAGGGCAGTTTGAGAAGGCCCCAGGCCTGGGAGGTGAGGTGAGGCAGGGGTGGGCCAGAGTGGGCCTCACACAGACAGATGAGTGGGCCTCAACTGCCCCGGCGGCCAGAGGACCTGTTACCTGGCTCTGGGCCTTAGGACCCCCAAACCTTCCAGTTCAGAGGTCTTCTAATATGTTTCAGCCACTGGGCTGGCTCCAGAGTCCCCACAGAAATTCATTAAGGGCGATAGAGTCCCGTGTCCTGCCATGCCCTGCAGACCCCAGCACTGGCTGGAAATCCCTTCTTTGAGCCAACTCCCCTGGCCCCATTCTAGAGTTTTACAGGAAGGGAAACCACAGCCTGGGGGAGGGGCATGGCATGCCTCGTCCAGGGTCCCCAGGTTCAGGGCAGAGGGTGCTGAATTCCGACCGCAGGGAGAAGGAATCACTGGAGTTCCCCAAAGACTGCACGGATTGCCAGAAACTCCCGGTTGCCCCAAACTCGACTGCACACCCACCTGCACCCCCCAAAGTGGCTGAAGACAAAGCACCTGCAGAGATACATGGGCATCTGGTTCCTAGAAGCAGAGGGCCATTGCCATCTGCAGGGCCTGTCACCCCAACGCACCCCTCAGCGCCCCCAGGGCCACGGTCTTCCACCTCCACTAGCCCTCCTCCTCTCTTCCTCTCGAGAGCCGGCAGAACCACCCAGTCCCTCAGAACACGCCTGAGGGCCTCCGAAGAAAGAGTCCTCTCCCAGGAAGGGACAGTCACCCACTGTCCTTGGCTCATCTTTTACAGAGCAAGCTTCTTCTTCCCCAACATAAAAAGTGAGGTGAGGAGCACATGATCCCGGGGTCCCTTCTGGCCCTGACCTCAGCCAAGCCTGACCCTGGGGTCCCTTCTAGACCTGACTCAGGCCGAGTCTGACCCTAGGGTCCCTACTGGCCCTGACCCCAGCTGAGTGTGGCCCTGAGGTCCCTTTCAGCCCTTATCCCGGTCAAGTGATCCTGGGGTCCCTTTTGGCCCTGATCCCAGCTGAGTCTGACTCTGGGGTCTCCTCTGGCCCTGACCCCAGCTGAGTCTGATCTTGGGGTCCCTTGTGGTCCTGACCCCAGCCAAGCCTGACCCTAGGGTCCCTTCTGGCCCTGACCCCAGCTGAGTCTGACCCTGGAGTCCCCTCCAGCCCTGACCCCAGCTGAGTCTGACCCGGGGGTCTCCTCTGGCCCTGACCCCAGCTGAGTCTGACCCGGGGGTCTCCTCTGGCCCTGACCCCAGCTGAGTCTGACCCGGGGGTCTCCTCTGGCCCTGACCCCAGCTGAGTCTGACCCGGGGGTCTCCTCTGGCCCTGACCCCAGCTGAGTCTGACCCTGGGGTCCCCTCCAGCCCTGACCCCAGCTGAGTCTACTTCCATAACAAATCCAGCCTGGATGGCCATGCCAGGAGAGGGTCTGCTGGAACTTCATGGCAGAAAGTGAGGAGCAATCAGAGCTAGGCCATGTACCCTTGGGCGACTCCGGCACCTGGGTAACACCATCCTCACCCACCCTTGGCCTGGCCAGGCCCACTCCTCCAGCCCCAGGGTTGCTGTCACCTCCTCCAGGAAGCCTCCCTCTGGCCTGGCACACCACTGCCCTGGACTCTATGTGCCATGAGTGCCTCGTGCTCTCTGTCCCCACACTGGGCTGGGAGCTCCCAGCCAGGACAGGGCACTGCTCACACGCACACCCAGCTCCAGGCACCAGGCTCCCAGGAGCTGCTCAGTGACTGCTCATTAATTCCATGAATAAACCATCAGCAGTTGGGGGGGCCTTGGACACTTCAGCCGTGCTGTCCAGCCCGGGGCCTGACCCGTGACAACAGGGCCTAGCATTTCGGAGCACAGCTCTGAACTCAGACTGCTGGGACCGGGTCCCGTTCTGCTTCTGGCTAGCTCTGAGTCCCGGGCAGGGCCCTTGAACACTGTGCCCTGTAAGGCCGGGAGAGTAACAGCAGCCAAGCCTGAGGGTCTTGTAGGCTGCTGCCGCCCTGTCACGTGCACATCCGTGTGGGCGCTCAGGATGCCTGTGTCCTCCTCCTTCCCAGTCAAGCCCCGGGCACCGAGGCAAAGGTCCTTTGTGCTTTATTGTGTGGCAACGGCCCCTCTTGGGGCTTGCGTCTTAGCGTTACTGTGGGGGCCGGGACCAGCCCCACCCCCACTGACTGCCCCATCCTGCCCAGCTCCCGCCCCCCTGAGGGTGGGTGCGCTGGGCGAGGGCCAGGCTGCCTGTCCGGGGAGCCTAGGCGGGGCTCAGTCCTGGGACCCGGGCTCCTAGGAGGTGGGAAAGGATGGGGCAGGGCAGGAGAGTCCCTCAGTCTGCAGCAGCCTGTGCTCTGGGCCCAGCCCAGGGGACCCGGCCTGCTGGGTGGGGCCGGGTCAGACTCTCGAAGGCGCCCGCTGGGTGGGCTCGGGTTGGAGAGAGGCGTGGCGCCGGCTCCTCCTCCCACGCAGGCCATGTCCGTCCGCGGGGCGCCCCCGCCCGGCCGCCGCAGCGCGGGCGGGGCAGCTGAGCCCCCGCGCCCTCC